GGAATGATGAGAGTGGACAGGGACTAACTGCTGCTGTGTTGTGTTTTCTCTCCATCAGATTCTGTGATTTCGATCTGCTCAACGGACAGAAAACTCAAACTGTCTGACAACAACAAGAAGGTGACACATGTGAGAGAGATCAGCCGTATCCAGATCATCAGGACAGATTTGAACTCCTGGAACAGTTCTGTGTTCCCACTGGTCTGACTGGTCTGTTTACTGGGAGGTCCAGTGGAAGTGGACATGTTTCTATTTCATGTCTTACAGAAGAATCAGAGGAAAGGACGCGTTTTTGACAGTTTGTTTGGACACAATGATCAGTCCTGGAGTCTGTTCTGTCTAAAGATGGTTTCATTGTTTCATCATAAACTTCGAACCCTCTCCCTCAGTCCTGTTCCTCTGGTGGGAGAGCTATCAGTGTTGTTGGGACTGCTGCTGGCTCTCTGTCCTTCTACACAGTCTCCTCTGACCAACTGACCCACCTCCACACTTCAACACCACATTCACTCACACTCTGTTCCCTGGGTTGGGCTCTGGTTCTACTCCTCAGTGTCTCTGTGTGCTCCGACAGACTCACTCTCCTCGTGTAAAACAGTCCAACATTTTTCATCTATTTTTAGTTGAAAAAAAAAGTGATGTTAATAGTGGAGTTTGACAGAAAAAGACATGAGCCTCTTCAGCGTTGGATGAAGATAATTGGATCATTTCACACCAAATCTCCAAAAGTCCCAACTCGACCATCTCAGATTTGACTGAAAAAATTCCTCGGAGGTTTCACAAAACTTTTCAACAGGAAAAGTCCCAGATTTTATCTCCCAACTCTTTATAGTTTTGTCATTAAAACTATTTTGTCGTCTCCCCCTGACCTGTTTTGAGCAGAGTTTTCCGAGGAGCCACTTTCAGAACATTTGACACATTTTAACCCTTGAACATGTGAAGAATCTTAAATAGTTTTTTAGATACAGAAATCTGAAAGTGGCTCCTCGGAAAACTCTGCTCAAAACAGGTCAGGGGGGAGACGACAAAATATTTTTAATGACAAAACTATAAAGAGTTGGGAGATAAAATTTTGGGGGATTTGTCGTGAAATGATCCAAACGTCTAGAGTGAGAGATGGTGTGTGGTGTTATACTGTGTACGGGACCACAACTTTATAAAGTGTCATGAAATGTTTGAGAAAACCCTTCTCTCTTCTCTTTCTACTTCCAAATGTTTGTCATGTCAAGGCTGTGTTCTGTGTTGTGTCCACCAGAGGGCGCTCACAGTCAGTCTGAGAATGGACCAAAATGAACCAAACAGAGAAACACATAATAACAGCGATCAACAGATACATAAAGACAATTATTTGACATGACTCATCACAAATATAATCTCCAGATAAAAATATACATCAATAATTCATGAAAGCAACAATGTGCTTCTGCCAGACTCTTCTAATCGTACGTCACATGACTCCAGATACAAAAGAA